GACTAAATGGAGGGGGCTTTTTTTTTTTTTTTTTTTTTTGGTAGTTTCTCTTTCTAAGCTTTCTTCCTAAAATGCCTGGAACAGGCTGTCAAAAGGTAGGAGAGGACCTGGCTAGGAAGGCTGAACACATCGAAAGTCACTTTCCTCAACGGTGCTATTTCGGTCGGTGGCCCTTTGTCTCTCCTCGCTTCCCGCACTACACCTCTCCTTCGTCCCTGCCGCGCCTGCCCTCTCCCTTTCTTCTCGGTCTGTCGCCAGGTTACAACCACCGCTGCCCCAGAGGCTCCACCCACTTCAGGCCAAGTTGCCCAAATCCAGGATGGCGCGTGGTGCGTCAGTACTGGCGGAAGTGAGCTCATGCTACTCCGGAAGGGAAGGCGGGAGAGAGCGAGCGGGTGGGTGACCCGCCGCGGGGCTGTGGGTGGGGCGGCGGCCGCGGCCCTGGCTTTCACGCTTGGGGCTGGAGAGAGCCTGGTGCTGGAAACCGAGTCGAAGGCTCAGGGCCAGAGCCACTGGAGGAAGTCGCCGTGAGCGGCTCGCCTCTGGCCCAAGGAAAGGCAGCCCTGGGCGCCGGCGTCCCTCCCCGGGCGGCCTCTTTTCTCGACCCTCTTCCCGGGCTGCGCGCGCCGGCCGGGACTGGGTCTCGGGGGCTGCGGCGGGAACTGCCGAGCGGCTGGAAGAGACCCTCCCCTTGTGGACCGGCTGGAGAAGAGGGAGAGCGGCGGGTCAGCTCTCAGCCCAGGAGCCGGGCCGCGGGCCCCCTGTCCGTAGACCTCGGTTCTTTGCCCAGTCCTCTGGGCTGGAGAATACGCGACCTCCCCGCGCTCCTGCCTCTCCTCTGAGTCTGTCCCCGAGCCCTCTAGCCGCCTGATCATTCCTCCTTATTTTCGCAGGGTAGGAGACACCTATTGATTATATATCTAAAGGATATCTGTCTTCATCGCCGCCCTGCCCTCTTCAAAGTTTAACTTGGGTGGGAATGCTTGTATCTTCTCCTGGACCATTTGACGGTTTCCACTCCAGTCGCCGTTTGATTTAGCAACTGGAATCACGTTCTGATCTAATCTTTAAAAGAAAAATCACCTACAGAGCTACTTTACAGAGTTGTTTTCTCCCGCCCGAGAAGGACAAATGGACTTCGGAGTTAAGATGCAGGGTGGTGAACCCGTGTCAACAATGAAAGTCTCAGAGAGCGAAGGAAAGCTGGAGGGCCTGGCCACAGCGGTGACCCCGAACAACAAGAACAGCAGCAACAGCAGCTGTGGGGGTGGGATCAGCAGCAGCAGCAGCAGCAGTAGCCGCGGTGGCAGTGCAAAAGGCTGGCAGTACAGGTACGGTCCTTTGTCCAAGGTTATTTCTAGGGAGGCGGTGAGGGTGAGTCCGCTGGAGGCTGCATTCCGCAGTCCTTGAAAGATAAAAGTTTGTCCACTGGCTTCCAGAAGCAACTCATACATCTCATTTGGACCTGGGAGGTCACCTTTCATTAGCAAGAGTTCGTTCATTCATTCGTTTATTCAACAGGTATTTATTGAGGGCTTTTGGGGGGAATTCAGGAACGGTATCCCTGAACTTCCTCTAGAACCCGAGTGAATTCTTCCACTATTTAGTTCTGTTCTGTTTTTGCCTGTGTTGTAATGTGTTTACTAGCCTGCCTTCTCTGATAGAGTTGGAGGGCAGGGACTGTTTAACTCAGCTCTCTCCAGAAGCTAGCAAATACTACTGAACAACAGTGATTGGAGTAAAGTAATTGAATTAGAGAAGATTCTTGACCTCTGTAGATAGGTTACTTAAATGCAGGAGTAGAGGTACAGATACTAGTTAGTGCCTCTGGTACTTAAGCGTGAGCCTGGAGACGCTCAGTTTCAGTTGATCAGGCCACTTAAGTGCTTTTTTGCCTTTAGACAGTCTACCTATGTTAATTTTTGTCAATATAAATGAAAAACGTAAAAGACAGGAAGATAGCCCAGGAGAAGCAACAGAAATTTTGATTTGTTTTTGTTGTTGGTCCCTAACATGTAGGAGAAATAACTTAGCTACAATAGAATCTTAACAATGAATGAAATCAGGACATCCCATGGTATTGAAACTAAAGGGATGAATTCTTATGTTTTGGTTAACTGTTTGCATGCCTAACTCTAAAGGGATGAATTCTTAAGTTTTGGTTAACCGTTTGCATGCCTAACTCTAGGCCTTTTTAGCTCTTGTTTCTACTTAATGAAATGAGTGTGGAGCTTGGAAGGGACCGAAGCCAGGAATTTGTGAAGAATGTGTATTTATCGTGAATGCTGGCCATATATGTGAAATACACATGATTATAGGAACGTACAGAAATGAACAGTCAAGGTTGTAACTTTTTATTGGTAAATCATTATGGACTCCGAAACTGCAGTCCTGTGAGATGTCAAGGCTTACTTGTGGAATCAGTGATCTGTGGGTACGTGTATGTATGTGTGTGGTTTAAGAGTAACCACAGGAGATCATCGGATACTTGACAGGGGTATTGTAACATAATTTAAGGAAGCAAGGTAAAGTGAAATTCCAGGTATTCAAGAGATCAGTCTTCTGATATCCTCAACTCTTTGAAACCTTGTCTTCGTTAAATTGTAACCTGAGACAGATTTCTTAGCACTGGGGGAGTTGTTAGGAAGCCATGCACTTTATTTCTGTAGTTTCACACAGAACCTTATCCCTTTTTTTGAGGGTATTATTGAATGGTTATATAATTTTCAAACTCTTAGGTTGTCGGGAAAATCATGACGTATTTTTCTGTGTTTTTCTATGCAGAAATGCCTGACTTTCCCGACAACCCAGTAGAATCTATTGGAAGGACAAGGGGAAAAGGTTATTAGGGAACATGTGGCAGAGGGAATAGCAGTTGACCATGTAGGATGGTCAAAGATTTGAAAAATTAAATGCAAACTCAGTTTTACTTCCTAGTATTAATATAGTAATCATAATCAGTGATCTTAAATTGTCCCGGAAAGAACACTCTGTTTTAAAAGGTAGAGAACTGTATGATACAGTCGTGAACAATTTCAAAGAAAATAGCTTTAAAAGAAATGGTTAAGGCTAAGCCATAGTGGTGTATGCTAAGACCCTGCTGCTTACAGGCTGAGGCCACATGGGAGGTCTGGGTTTGACTCCTGGCCCAACCTAAGCAGGCCAGGCACAGTAATGCACATCTGTAGTCCTGGCTAGCTGGGTGGCTGGGCTAGGAGGATCCTGACATGGAGAGAGCCTTTTGAAATCATCTCTCCCCCCTCAAATAAATAAATACACTTAAAAAAAAGATGCTTAAGTGGCTGAAAAAATTGGTTATATGGAGCTCTTCTCTAAAAATAAAGAAAAATAAGAGATTACTACATTTATATGCAGACTTTTTTTGTTTCTTTTTTTGGAGAGGTTTTTGCTATAGGGTGTGTGCACTCGCCAGAAAGACAGAGAGAGACAGAGAGACAGAAAGCGAGAAATCACCTCCCAGGGGAGATGGCCATGCCGCAATCCCTTCTACTCAGGATCTTGGGCACACACACGCGTGCCCGGTGTGAGTTTAAGCCACTGGGTCCGGGACTTGAACTGTGGTCAGCTACATGGGAGTCCAGCGACATAGCCATTACGCCAACTGCTGGTGCCCAGACTTTTATTTTTTTTTAAAGACATATTAAGTAAATCACCTCCCAGGGGAGATGGCCATGCCGCAATCCCTTCTACTCAGGATCTTGGGCACACACACGCGTGCCCGGTGTGAGTTTAAGCCACTGGGTCCGGGACTTGAACTGTGGTCAGCTACATGGGAGTCCAGCGACATAGCCATTACGCCAACTGCTGGTGCCCAGACTTTTATTTTTTTTTAAAGACATATTAAGTTTGGGGTTAGCAGGTGGTGTGGTGGTGAAGGTGCTAGACTCCCACATGGGCGACCCTGATTTGAATCCTGAACCTGGTGGCTTGCTTTCTCACTTTCTCTCTCTCTTTCTCTGGTCAAATTGAAAGATGATAATGATGAATAAAAATAAATAAAAACACTTTTTTTTGAGAGGTTTTTGCTATAGGGCTTGTGCACTCACCAGGAAGAGAAACAGAGAGCTAGAAAGCGAGAAATCGCCCTCCAGGGGGGATGGCCACGCCACAATCCCTTCTCCTCCATTTTCCTCTTGGGATCTTGGACACACATGCACATGCGCCCGGCGTGAGTTTAAGCCATCAGGTCCAGGACCCGAACCACAGTCGGCTACATGGGAGTTCAGCAACATAGCCATTGTGCTAACTGCTGGTCCCAAAACACCTTATTTTTTAAAAGATGTATTAAGGGGGGTCAGCAGGTAGCGTAGTGGTTAAGGCGCTGGACACTCCCACATGGCCAACCATGGTTCAAATTCTGGACCTGGTAGCTTGCTTTCTCACTTTCCCTCTCTCTGTCTCTCTCTGGTCACATTAAAATAAATAGATGAATAAATAAAATTAAATAATTCTTTAAAAAAGATATAGTAAGTATACAATTTTGGGGGGATACAGTGTGTTCTTTTTTCACTGCATGAATATAGTGCATTATGATCAAATCCATCACCTCAGACATTTATCATTACTTTGTGTTGGGACATATTTTTTTTAAAAGAATTATATTATTACTATTTTTTTTTTTAAATAGAGATTTTTGCTGTAGGGCATATGTGTTTGCCAGAGAGAGAGAGAGACAGAAAGTGAGAAATCACCCCCCTCCCTCGGGGGGATACCATGCTGCAGTCCCTTCTTCTTCATTCATTTTGGGCACACATGCACATGCACCTGGCATGAATTTTAAGCTTCTGGGTCCGGGACTTGAACCGCAGTTGACTGTGTGGGAGTCCAGTGACATAAGCATTGAGCCATCTGCTGGTTCCCATATATATTCTTTTTAAGAGAGATTTTTGCTGCAGGGTGCGTGCACTCACCAGAGAGAGAGAGAGACAGAAAAAGCGAGAAATCCACCTCCCCCCCCCCGCCCCCCCCTGGGGCGGGCCAGGCGTGGCCATGCTACAACTCCTTCTCTGTTTTCCTTTTGGGATTTTAGGCATGCCTGGCATGAGTTTTAAGTCATGGAGTCTGGGACTTGAACCATGGTTGACTATGTGGAAGTCCAGTGATGTAACTATTATACCATCTGCTGGTAACAAAGAATTACTTATTTTATTTTATTTATTATTACTATTTTCTAACTTGACCAGAAAGAGACACAGAGAGAGAGAAATTGAGAAAGTAAGCTGCCAGGTCTGGGACTCAAACCATGGTTGATCATATGGGAGTCCAGTGCCCTAACCACCATGCCACCTGCCTAGCCTGGGACATATATTTTTTTTTTGTTTGTTTGTTTTTTCTTTTTGATTTGCCAGAGGATGTGTGTGCTCACTAGAGGGAGACAAAGGGGGAGGGTGATGAGAAAGCACCCCCAAGGGGCATAGTCACACTGCTATTCCTTCTCCACTTCTTCCTCCTTTTTGAGATTTTAAGCGTGCGTGCACATAGGCCTGACATGTTCATTCTAGCCTCCAGGACTTGAACCATTTGGCTGACCATGTGAGCTCCAGCTGCCTTAACCACCAGGCCATGGGTTGGCCCACAGCATAGATTTTGATTTTAATGTGGCCGTCCTAGGCTAATCCTTCCTTCAACCTAGCCTTCCATATTAATTTATCTCATTGTCCACTAGGGCTCTGATCAGGAACTTTTTTCATTGTCCTGTATTGCTCCCCCTTTGACTTCTTCCCTTGAGGCTGAAAGTCTTTAGACTTTAATAACAAAACAATAACCAACAATGAAAGCCAACCTAATCTTTTTAAAAGCAGTTTACTCGGGACCAGCAGATAGTGTAGTAGCTATGTCACTGGACTCCCACGTAGTCTGCTGTGATTCGAGTCTCAGACCCAGTGGCTTAAACTCATGCCAGGTGTGTGTGCTTGTGTGCCCAAGATCCTGAGAAGAGAATGGAGAAGGGACTGCAGCATGATGGCCATCCGCCTTGCCTTGGTGGTGGTGGGGGGGATTTCTCACTTTCTGTCTCTCTGTCTCTCTCTGTCTTTCTGGCAAGTGTGCACGTATGAAAAAAACCTCACCAAAAAAAAAAAAAACACAACAGTTTACTCACAGCTTCTATTTCCTGAATTCTCATTTATTGTCCAGCTCATACTGGTTGGCTCTGTCCTCATCAAGGATAGGAGTGAAAAGCAATGGATGTTTTTAGATTGTTACGCCAACTGATTATAGAGAGTATATGTTGTGAGAATTTTTTTGTTTTTTTAAAGATGTTTTCCATAGAGGGCATGCAGGCTAGAGACAGACAAACTGAGGGGAACTG